GTTACACACAGTGTGTTGTTACACAATGTGTTGTTACACATAGACAGTGTGTTGTTACACACACAGACAGTGGATGTTGTATGTTGTGTAGCTCTCCACCTCTTTATCTGCCTCCTCCTCGTGTTGCTGCTGTAATGGGATTCAAAGGCCTGGATCGCCCATCAGACCCAATCAATAGGCCTTTCATTGGCCGCCATCTCTTAGCGCCTCACAAAGAGCAGCCTGTGTGTGTGTGTGTCTGTGTGTATGTGTGTGTGTGTGTGCGCGTGTGTGTGTTAGCGTCCTCTTGCCTCACTGATCTCCCCGGGGTTCCGGAAAGACCTGCGCTTATTCGCTCCACGCGCCCTAAAACACACATATATAAACACACACACACGCACACACACACATATACAAACACACATATACACACACACACACACACACACACACACACTGGCCAGCTGGACCAAATATTCAACTGGGAGAACAGCTTCACTCCACCCACTGCTGCCCTGGAGCTTAGTGTGTTTGTGTGTTTCTGTATGTAACAGAGTAATATAGACACTGTGTGTGTGTGTGAGTGTGTGTGTGTGTGTGTGTGTGTGTGTGTTGCAGAGAGAAAACCAGAAACAAAGAGAGAAAAAGCAGCTCGTCTCTAAAAGCTGCTTTCAGATGAACTGCAGTAACTGAAGCCTGATTAAAGGATCAGTCTGCAGATTTATAGATTTCTGTTATTGTCACAAACAACACCAAACCAACAGTGTATTGATCAGTTCTGTGTGTGTTCAAAGCCCGATTTATCTGATTTCTCTGTGTCATCGCTGCTGAAAACACCACTGAGTGTTGCAGTCGATGACGTGATCCTTCACCGACAACCAGCCGGAGTTGGTTCACTCAGTTATTCTAAATGATTGTTCAGGAGAATAAAACGAGTCGACATCTTTGGTTGCACAGGAAAGCGAGCAGAGTTCTGCCCTATGAAGCTCCACAGATCCAGGATTTCTTTCAGTTAACTGGCTTCACTAAACCAAACTGCTCCAGTCCAGCTGGTTCAGCAGCAGGTTTCTGAACCAGCCGGAGCAGGCTCTGATGAAGAGGCCCAGTCCAGACCTGAATAGGTGTGAAGTCACGCGTTTCTCACAAAGACAGCGAACTATAGCTGTGACTTTAACTACAGCACAGCCGGTGTTGGGTTTTCTTCATCACAGGTGACCGTAGAGGTGAGCTCTGCAGCCGGAGAACCAACCAGGTGGACCATGACCAGGTTCTTGTGTCTGATTCTGCACGGTACAGGATCCAGTTTGTGAAGTTATGAGGCAGAGCTGAGCTTCACATCACAGAACCAGAGAGTTGACGGACAGCTGAGACTCAGAGGAGCTGCTCTTTACTGACGGCTGACTGCAGCTACATCCTGATGGACTCTACGGCTCTGGTCCTGTTCTACTGGTCGACCCGGTCCAGAGTGAACGGAGCCCCAGTCAGACTCTCACAGAACACAA